ACACACACACACACACACACACACACACACACACACACACAAAGCACGAAAACTACTAGCTTCCTTGAAAATTATATGAAATAACGTAAGTGAACATACATTAACTTATTGCCCAACGCAGTCAACATATAATGCATTAAAAACAAAAATACAGGGCCTCCCTATTCTAGCCAAGTACTCTACCATTGACTTGTGCTCCAGACACTCCACATATTTTGGGAGGATTTTTTTTTTCTTTGAGACAGGATTTCACTGTGAATCCCTGACTGGTCTAGAACTTGCTTTGTAGGCCAGGCTGGCCTGGAACTCACTTGCCTCCACATATTTTAAGTCCTAACTGCTATAGTTCATTTCTTCCTCTCTTGGTGTCTTGTTTTACCAAAGGATAGAGCTTACCAAATATTCCCTCCTCACCCCATCTCTCCCCTCATCTCCTGGCTTACCCATAATCCAACAGCCAGGACAAAAAGGAAGTACAAAACCAGAACAGCAATGTCCCCAGGCTCCAGGCTCTTCTGAGGGAAAGCCTCTAGGGAGTCTGACTGTGGAGGCTGAGGGCTAATGGTGCCACTCTCCATGGTGCTGAATGAACCTCCCAGTCCTGGGGAGAGGGGAAGCAATGTTAGATTCCAGATCCCAGAGTCCCTTTCCTCACTCCATCTGTGGCTTCCTCCCCATCCCCAACCCATCCCCATGGAGCAGCATCATCAGCAACAACAATGACCTACCTGGATGGAGGTATGGTGGAGACAGCTTCAGGAAGTCAGGTCCATCCCTCCAACCATGGTCATCTAACCACCCTTCCACCCACTCTTTCACACACACCCCCCAGAAAATGCAGTTTTGAATCATGTAACTATATTACCATAAAAATGCACATATATGTATATACATACATATCTACATACACACATGGATACATAGATATATACAACATATATTTATGAGAGCATAGGCTTCAAAGTAAAGGAAATGGGGATTCTTGCTTCAAGCCTCACAATTTAGTAATAGATTAAAGAATCTAAATTATTTGGGCCTAGGTTTCTTCTATCTGTAAAATGGGTATAAGATCTTCCTTGAGGGGCAGGAGAGATGGCTAAGTGGTAAAGAGTGCATACAGTTCTTGCAGAGGACACAACATGTTACACAACCATCTGTAACTCCAGCTCAGGGGACCCCACACCTTATTCTGGCCTCTTCTTCTGTCTTCTGTGGGGACACACACACATGCTCACATATCTACACACACACATACACACACACACACACACACACACACACACACACACACTCAAAAATAAAGCAAGAAAACTACTAGCTTCCTTGAAAATTATATGAAATAACATAAGTGAACATACATTAACTTATTGCCCAACACAGTCAACATATAATGCATTAAAAAAAAAAATACAGGGCCTCCCTGTTCTAGCCAAGTGCTCTACCACTGACTTGTGCTCCAGACACTCCACATATTTTGGGAGGATTTTTTTTTCTTTGAGACAGGATTTCACTGTGAATCCCTGACTGGTCTAGAACTTGCTTTGTAGGCCAGGCTGGCCTGGAACTCACTTGCCTCCACATATTTTAAGTCCTAACTGCTATAGTTCATTTCTTCCTCTCTTGGTGTCTTGTTTTACCAAAGGATAGAGCTTACCAAATATTCCCTCCTCACCCCATCTCTCACCTCATCTCCTGGCTTACCCATAATCCAACAGCCAGGACAAAGAGGAAGTACAAAACCAGAACAGCAATGTCCCCAGGCTCCAGGCTCTTCTGAGGGAAAGCCTCTAGGGAGTCTGACTGTGGAGGCTGAGAGC